CGTGGTAGACAGCTTCTTCATTCTTGGTGGTGAAGAGCTGGACAGTGACGTCAGGGTTGCCTCTGCACACGAGAACGAAAGACTTTTGTGGGCTACCGCTGACATAGATGATGATGTCCATACGCATTCTTCCGGCTCCAGTTCTCGCCCGTTCTTGTTCTGCAAGGACCCGTCAGCTAGTCCTGGATAGTTATTGGTCCAGATACTATCATTATTAGTCTGGACACTGTCTGGATTTGTCATAAAGATAGCAGCAAAGATACGGATGCGAATAGAAGCGTTAGATTCAACACTTAATCTATCGACCGTGATAAAAAGAGGTAGGAGCTGCCGGTGATCGGATCATCTCTGTTTGATAATATCATTTGCGCATAAGAAGGATGGCCAAAATCAAGATCCATTTTCTTTTGATCTGGTTGTCCGGAAAAATGTGATGGCCATTTTAAAACATTCTTTGGAGATATCGATTATCCCACCTTGAATCCAATGCCAATTCGCGATATGACAGCACGTTCTTCAACGACATTAATATTGCCACATGGTTCTTAGCACTTTAACATCTCGGAGGATGTCTCTTTTACCCCCTCTCTACTTTCTGGAATGCTGTAATCGTCAAATATTGACGCAGAGGAAGCCTTTAATGATTCTGGTGATGAAAAACGGGTGATTGTCGCGAATGATTCTTTTGACCAACGAAATGATAGAAACTGAGTACATTTGAACCCGAGCGAGGATTCGCATACCAGAAACTCATGAATCAGACGAAGAAAACAGAAAATAGTGTTCAGGAGAGATAGCACTGATTTCCTTGTAAGAAGTCGGCAAGGAACGTCAAGATGAAATATCTCAAGTCACTCGATAGTAGACAATCGATATTTGAATATACCTTACCACATTTACCCGTGCTATATCTTGTAGGTGCTCAAGAAGTACTATTGTCGATCAAGCGGATAGCAACCATGAGCCTTCGTCACATACAATAGTTCACCCTGTTCACATGAGTTAAACGAAACCCAAGCGGCAGTGTCGAAGGTTTTGATCGAATACAGAGGGCAAGTTAAAAATCCAGACCCCCCAAGATCGAATGGAAATTGAGATTAACGTGAACATGCAAAACCTACACAGCTTCTTCCAACAGACTAGTTTCAACAAGTTGGATGAGCTTACACCAATGGATGTGGCGGTGGATGTTTTTACTGGTAATTTATAGCTGATGTATCGTTCTCAATAGTAAGGGATATGACCCATTTACTTACAGCTCATCCGTAATCTACTCCGATGTTGTAACATTTAAAAAAGCTCTGATCTCTGACGCAACGAAAAAGCCGATATTATGCACCTTTACCTCGCTTCATATGGTTGGCTTCACGAATTGTTTTCTGTCAGTAGTTCTCCATTGGAATAAAATATGAGCAAAAGAGATGAATGGTGATATAACGAGGCAATCAGTAATGTCAATGTTGTACTGCACAGAGGGCCACTTCCACACGTTTTACAGTCAACCATGAGATTGATCGTATCAAAAAACTGATACCTGACTCAAAGAACTCAATTCCAGATCGCGAGAGGTCTCCGTCTTTTGCGCCTTGCTACTACTGAGTTTACACTGGTGGGAGTGGCATAAATACCGCAGAACGACATCACACATTCCAGCGGCATGTATAAGTCATTTCGACGTAATGTTCCGCTCAATCAATTCGATACAGATTCTAGACAATAAGGACAGTTTCCAGACTTGTGACATCACCAATTAGGCGTCTTCACTATTTCTCCTGATTTTTGACCAAAGGGCGTGTATACAAATACTTTCGGGCGATCTGTTTGCGCAGTTCACAGTAAAATAGAAGTTCATTTTTTTCGTCAAGTTCCACTAAATGCGCCGATAATATCCCGACAGTTGAGACCAAATTGAGGAAATGATTTTTGATAGTAACGCAAGTTTTCAATACCGTCATAGTCGATCAGCTTTCACTGTGGCATGCATTTGAGCATTATGGAGTATGTTATAAACGATGTAAACAATGCAGGATGACCATCAGCAAGGTGTGAGCTACCCTGGCATGCGACAGTGTAGCACATTTAGATGATACGAGCTGCGGGGTTTCCCCGCTGTGTAAAGCAATTCCGGACTCGGAAACTACCGTACGTATGGGTATTCATCTGAGTAAAGGCTAGTAATGTTCTTGCGATGTCAAATCATACTTACCTGACTGGTGCTTGACGCTGCTCAACGAGGGCGTTGACATGAGCCGGAGCAGGCCCCTTGCACTCCGGTGCTGTAAGGGTTCAGGAATGCTCTTATGAGTAATTCCACAGTAGAATTTTTGTCAGCGGGGGTGAGCGCGTGCGCCGTCCCCACCACAGATCTCCATTACAATTCACGCTTTTTACTTTTGTTCCGTTCACAATTTTAACTCTACTCCACGTGCATCTACTCGACGTGCGTGTCCTCTGCGTTAATGGACATCTCCTCGCTGTTCAAGTGCGGACGTGCGCTGTCTAGTGATTTGCTAACGTCGGCTTTACTAGTGAAAAGAACGGTTTGAGCACGGCCGGCAACACTGGTGGGCGTGGTGGACAGCTTCTTCATTCTTGGTGGTGAAGAGCTGGACAGTGACGTCAGGGTTGCCTCTGCACACGCGAACGAAAGACTTTTTTGGGCTACCTCTGACATAGATGATGATGTCCATACGCATTCTTCCGGCTCTAGTTCTCGCCCGTTCTTGTTCTGCAAGGACCCGTCAGCTAGTCCTGGATAGTTATTGGTCCAGATACTATCATTATTAGTCTGGACACTGTCTGGATTTGTCATAAAGATAGCAGCAAAGATACGGATGCGAATAGAAGCGTTAGATTCAACACTTAATCTATCGACCGTGATAAAAAGAGGTAGGAGCTGCCGGTGATCGGATCATCTCTGTTTGATAATATCATTTGCGCATAAGAAGGATGGCCAAAATCAAGATCCATTTTCTTTTGATCTGGTTGTCCGGAAAAATGTGATGGCCATTTTAAAACATTCTTTGGAGATATCGATTATCCCACCTTGAATCCAATGCCAATTCGCGATATGACAGCACGTTCTTCAACGACATTAATATTGCCACATGGTTCTTAGCACTTTAACATTTCGGAGGATGTCTCTTTTACCCCCTCTCTACTTTCTGGAATGCTGTAATCGTCAAATATTGACGCAGAGGAAGCCTTTAATGATTCTGGTGATGAAAAACGGGTGATTGTCGCGAATGATTCTTTTGACCAACGAAATGATAGAAACTGAGTACATTTGAACCCGAGCGAGGATTCGCATACCAGAAACTCATGAATCAGACGAAGAAAACAGAAAATAGTGTTCAGGAGAGATAGCACTGATTTCCTTGTAAGAAGTCGGCAAGGAACGTCAAGATGAAATATCTCAAGTCACTCGATAGTAGACAATCGATATTTGAATATACCTTACCACATTTACCCGTGCTATATCTTGTAGGTGCTCAAGAAGTACTATTGTCGATCAAGCGGATAGCAACCATGAGCCTTCGTCACATACAATAGTTCACCCTGTTCACATGAGTTAAACGAAACCCAAGCGGCAGTGTCGAAGGTTTTGATCGAATACAGAGGGCAAGTTAAAAATCCAGACCCCCCAAGATCGAATGGAAATTGAGATTAACGTGAACATGCAAAACCTACACAGCTTCTTCCAACAGACTAGTTTCAACAAGTTGGATGAGCTTACACCAATGGATGTGGCGGTGGATGTTTTTACTGGTAATTTATAGCTGATGTATCGTTCTCAATAGTAAGGGATATGACCCATTTACTTACAGCTCATCCGTAATCTACTCCGATGTTGTAACATTTAAAAAAGCTCTGATCTCTGACGCAACGAAAAAGCCGATATTATGCACCTTTACCTCGCTTCATATGGTTGGCTTCACGAATTGTTTTCTGTCAGTAGTTCTCCATTGGAATAAAATATGAGCAAAAGAGATGAATGGTGATATAACGAGGCAATCAGTAATGTCAATGTTGTACTGCACAGAGGGCCACTTCCACACGTTTTACAGTCAACCATGAGATTGATCGTATCAAAAAACTGATACCTGACTCAAAGAACTCAATTCCAGATCGCGAGAGGTCTCCGTCTTTTGCGCCTTGCTACTACTGAGTTTACACTGGTGGGAGTGGCATAAATACCGCAGAACGACATCACACATTCCAGCGGCATGTATAAGTCATTTCGACGTAATGTTCCGCTCAATCAATTCGATACAGATTCTAGACAATAAGGACAGTTTCCAGACTTGTGACATCACCAATTAGGCGTCTTCACTATTTCTCCTGATTTTTGACCAAAGGGCGTGTATACAAATACTTTCGGGCGATCTGTTTGCGCAGTTCACAGTAAAATAGAAGTTCATTTTTTTCGTCAAGTTCCACTAAATGCGCCGATAATATCCCGACAGTTGAGACCAAATTGAGGAAATGATTTTTGATAGTAACGCAAGTTTTCAATACCGTCATAGTCGATCAGCTTTCACTGTGGCATGCATTTGAGCATTATGGAGTATGTTATAAACGATGTAAACAATGCAGGATGACCATCAGCAAGGTGTGAGCTACCCTGGCATGCGACAGTGTAGCACATTTAGATGATACGAGCTGCGGGGTTTCCCCGCTGTGTAAAGCAATTCCGGACTCGGAAACTACCGTACGTATGGGTATTCATCTGAGTAAAGGCTAGTAATGTTCTTGCGATGTCAAATCATACTTACCTGACTGGTGCTTGACGCTGCTCACCGAGGGCGTTGACATGAGCCGGAGCAGGCCCCTTGCACTCCGGTGCTGTAAGGGTTCAGGAATGCTCTTATGAGTAATTCCACAGTAGAATTTTTGATAGCGGGGGTGAGCGCGTGCGCCGCCCCCACCACAGATCTCCATTACAATTCACGCTTTTTACTTTTGTTCCGTTCACAATTTTAACTCTACTCCACGTGCATCTACTCGACGTGCGTGTCCTCTGCGTTAATGGACATCTCCTCGCTGTTCAAGTGCGGACGTGCGCTGTCTAGTGATTTGCTAACGTCGGCTTTACTAGTGAAAAGAACGGTTTGAGCACGGCCGGCAACACTGGTGGGCGTGGTGGACAGCTTCTTCATTCTTGGTGGTGAAGAGCTGGACAGTGACGTCAGGGTTGCCTCTGCACACGCGAACGAAAGACTTTTTTTGGGCTACCTCTGACATAGATGATGATGTCCATACGCATTCTTCCGGCTCTAGTTCTCGCCCGTTCTTGTTCTGCAAGGACCCGTCAGCTAGTCCTGGATAGTTATTGGTCCAGATACTATCATTATTAGTCTGGACACTGTCTGGATTTGTCATAAAGATAGCAGCAAAGATACGGATGCGAATAGAAGCGTTAGATTCAACACTTAATCTATCGACCGTGATAAAAAGAGGTAGGAGCTGCCGGTGATCGGATCATCTCTGTTTGATAATATCATTTGCGCATAAGAAGGATGGCCAAAATCAAGATCCATTTTCTTTTGATCTGGTTGTCCGGAAAAATGTGATGGCCATTTTAAAACATTCTTTGGAGATATCGATTATCCCACCTTGAATCCAATGCCAATTCGCGATATGACAGCACGTTCTTCAACGACATTAATATTGCCACATGGTTCTTAGCACTTTAACATTTCGGAGGATGTCTCTTTTACCCCCTCTCTACTTTCTGGAATGCTGTAATCGTCAAATATTGACGCAGAGGAAGCCTTTAATGATTCTGGTGATGAAAAACGGGTGATTGTCGCGAATGATTCTTTTGACCAACGAAATGATAGAAACTGAGTACATTTGAACCCGAGCGAGGATTCGCATACCAGAAACTCATGAATCAGACGAAGAAAACAGAAAATAGTGTTCAGGAGAGATAGCACTGATTTCCTTGTAAGAAGTCGGCAAGGAACGTCAAGATGAAATATCTCAAGTCACTCGATAGTAGACAATCGATATTTGAATATACCTTACCACATTTACCCGTGCTATATCTTGTAGGTGCTCAAGAAGTACTATTGTCGATCAAGCGGATAGCAACCATGAGCCTTCGTCACATACAATAGTTCACCCTGTTCACATGAGTTAAACGAAACCCAAGCGGCAGTGTCGAAGGTTTTGATCGAATACAGAGGGCAAGTTAAAAATCCAGACCCCCCAAGATCGAATGGAAATTGAGATTAACGTGAACATGCAAAACCTACACAGCTTCTTCCAACAGACTAGTTTCAACAAGTTGGATGAGCTTACACCAATGGATGTGGCGGTGGATGTTTTTACTGGTAATTTATAGCTGATGTATCGTTCTCAATAGTAAGGGATATGACCCATTTACTTACAGCTCATCCGTAATCTACTCCGATGTTGTAACATTTAAAAAAGCTCTGATCTCTGACGCAACGAAAAAGCCGATATTATGCACCTTTACCTCGCTTCATATGGTTGGCTTCACGAATTGTTTTCTGTCAGTAGTTCTCCATTGGAATAAAATATGAGCAAAAGAGATGAATGGTGATATAACGAGGCAATCAGTAATGTCAATGTTGTACTGCACAGAGGGCCACTTCCACACGTTTTACAGTCAACCATGAGATTGATCGTATCAAAAAACTGATACCTGACTCAAAGAACTCAATTCCAGATCGCGAGAGGTCTCCGTCTTTTGCGCCTTGCTACTACTGAGTTTACACTGGTGGGAGTGGCATAAATACCGCAGAACGACATCACACATTCCAGCGGCATGTATAAGTCATTTCGACGTAATGTTCCGCTCAATCAATTCGATACAGATTCTAGACAATAAGGACAGTTTCCAGACTTGTGACATCACCAATTAGGCGTCTTCACTATTTCTCCTGATTTTTGACCAAAGGGCGTGTATACAAATACTTTCGGGCGATCTGTTTGCGCAGTTCACAGTAAAATAGAAGTTCATTTTTTTCGTCAAGTTCCACTAAATGCGCCGATAATATCCCGACAGTTGAGACCAAATTGAGGAAATGATTTTTGATAGTAACGCAAGTTTTCAATACCGTCATAGTCGATCAGCTTTCACTGTGGCATGCATTTGAGCATTATGGAGTATGTTATAAACGATGTAAACAATGCAGGATGACCATCAGCAAGGTGTGAGCTACCCTGGCATGCGACAGTGTAGCACATTTAGATGATACGAGCTGCGGGGTTTCCCCGCTGTGTAAAGCAATTCCGGACTCGGAAACTACCGTACGTATGGGTATTCATCTGAGTAAAGGCTAGTAATGTTCTTGCGATGTCAAATCATACTTACCTGACTGGTGCTTGACGCTGCTCACCGAGGGCGTTGACATGAGCCGGAGCAGGCCCCTTGCACTCCGGTGCTGTAAGGGTTCAGGAATGCTCTTATGAGTAATTCCACAGTAGAATTTTTGATAGCGGGGGTGAGCGCGTGCGCCGCCCCCACCACAGATCTCCATTACAATTCACGCTTTTTACTTTTGTTCCGTTCACAATTTTAACTCTACTCCACGTGCATCTACTCGACGTGCGTGTCCTCTGCGTTAATGGACATCTCCTCGCTGTTCAAGTGCGGACGTGCGCTGTCTAGTGATTTGCTAACGTCGGCTTTACTAGTGAAAAGAACGGTTTGAGCACGGCCGGCAACACTGGTGGGCGTGGTGGACAGCTTCTTCATTCTTGGTGGTGAAGAGCTGGACAGTGACGTCAGGGTTGCCTCTGCACACGCGAACGAAAGACTTTTTTGGGCTACCTCTGACATAGATGATGATGTCCATACGCATTCTTCCGGCTCTAGTTCTCGCCCGTTCTTGTTCTGCAAGGACCCGTCAGCTAGTCCTGGATAGTTATTGGTCCAGATACTATCATTATTAGTCTGGACACTGTCTGGATTTGTCATAAAGATAGCAGCAAAGATACGGATGCGAATAGAAGCGTTAGATTCAACACTTAATCTATCGACCGTGATAAAAAGAGGTAGGAGCTGCCGGTGATCGGATCATCTCTGTTTGATAATATCATTTGCGCATAAGAAGGATGGCCAAAATCAAGATCCATTTTCTTTTGATCTGGTTGTCCGGAAAAATGTGATGGCCATTTTAAAACATTCTTTGGAGATATCGATTATCCCACCTTGAATCCAATGCCAATTCGCGATATGACAGCACGTTCTTCAACGACATTAATATTGCCACATGGTTCTTAGCACTTTAACATTTCGGAGGATGTCTCTTTTACCCCCTCTCTACTTTCTGGAATGCTGTAATCGTCAAATATTGACGCAGAGGAAGCCTTTAATGATTCTGGTGATGAAAAACGGGTGATTGTCGCGAATGATTCTTTTGACCAACGAAATGATAGAAACTGAGTACATTTGAACCCGAGCGAGGATTCGCATACCAGAAACTCATGAATCAGACGAAGAAAACAGAAAATAGTGTTCAGGAGAGATAGCACTGATTTCCTTGTAAGAAGTCGGCAAGGAACGTCAAGATGAAATATCTCAAGTCACTCGATAGTAGACAATCGATATTTGAATATACCTTACCACATTTACCCGTGCTATATCTTGTAGGTGCTCAAGAAGTACTATTGTCGATCAAGCGGATAGCAACCATGAGCCTTCGTCACATACAATAGTTCACCCTGTTCACATGAGTTAAACGAAACCCAAGCGGCAGTGTCGAAGGTTTTGATCGAATACAGAGGGCAAGTTAAAAATCCAGACCCCCCAAGATCGAATGGAAATTGAGATTAACGTGAACATGCAAAACCTACACAGCTTCTTCCAACAGACTAGTTTCAACAAGTTGGATGAGCTTACACCAATGGATGTGGCGGTGGATGTTTTTACTGGTAATTTATAGCTGATGTATCGTTCTCAATAGTAAGGGATATGACCCATTTACTTACAGCTCATCCGTAATCTACTCCGATGTTGTAACATTTAAAAAAGCTCTGATCTCTGACGCAACGAAAAAGCCGATATTATGCACCTTTACCTCGCTTCATATGGTTGGCTTCACGAATTGTTTTCTGTCAGTAGTTCTCCATTGGAATAAAATATGAGCAAAAGAGATGAATGGTGATATAACGAGGCAATCAGTAATGTCAATGTTGTACTGCACAGAGGGCCACTTCCACACGTTTTACAGTCAACCATGAGATTGATCGTATCAAAAAACTGATACCTGACTCAAAGAACTCAATTCCAGATCGCGAGAGGTCTCCGTCTTTTGCGCCTTGCTACTACTGAGTTTACACTGGTGGGAGTGGCATAAATACCGCAGAACGACATCACACATTCCAGCGGCATGTATAAGTCATTTCGACGTAATGTTCCGCTCAATCAATTCGATACAGATTCTAGACAATAAGGACAGTTTCCAGACTTGTGACATCACCAATTAGGCGTCTTCACTATTTCTCCTGATTTTTGACCAAAGGGCGTGTATACAAATACTTTCGGGCGATCTGTTTGCGCAGTTCACAGTAAAATAGAAGTTCATTTTTTTCGTCAAGTTCCACTAAATGCGCCGATAATATCCCGACAGTTGAGACCAAATTGAGGAAATGATTTTTGATAGTAACGCAAGTTTTCAATACCGTCATAGTCGATCAGCTTTCACTGTGGCATGCATTTGAGCATTATGGAGTATGTTATAAACGATGTAAACAGTGCAGGATGACCATCAGCAAGGTGTGAGCTACCCTGGCATGCGACAGTGTAGCACATTTAGATGATACGAGCTGCGGGGTTTCCCCGCTGTGTAAAGCAATTCCGGACTCGGAAACTACCGTACGTATGGGTATTCATCTGAGTAAAGGCTAGTAATGTTCTTGCGATGTCAAATCATACTTACCTGACTGGTGCTTGACGCTGCTCAACGAGGGCGTTGACATGAGCCGGAGCAGGCCCCTTGCACTCCGGTGCTGTAAGGGTTCAGGAATGCTCTTATGAGTAATTCCACAGTAGAATTTTTGATAGCGGGGGTGAGCGCGTGCGCCGCCCCCACCACAGATCTCCATTACAATTCACGCTTTTTACTTTTGTTCCGTTCACAATTTTAACTCTACTCCACGTGCATCTACTCGACGTGCGTGTCCT